TTGAGTCTAACTCCCTAATTTGGACTTGACACCTGTGTACAAGAATGTTGCCTAGCAGGGCTGGATTGCCATGTCTTGTTGACAGCGAGTTCCATTGTTTAACACAATGCCAACCAGGTCTCTTAAATTGGAATTGTCAGTGTTAGATACAATTTTGTCCTTGAGACATTCTTTGGTAATAGGGAGAGGGGGCCAGGACTGCCTGAATTTTTTTCTAAATCACAACTGTGTCCTCCTACCCAACCTGCAATACCCAGTAACCCCTTCCCATATCATGAAATAGAAATAGGAACAAAATAGCACCATTAATTGGATTTAAGTCTCAAACCCTGATACTGAAAACTTCTGTTAGCTGGCTTGGACCATGTTTAGCATAAATACATTCAGCCCAAGGCACATCCTGACTTGGGACTGAAGGACCCCCACCCGCACAGACCCTCCAAACCTATCATTGTTTACTGTACTTCGGCCTGATGGAAAGACCTACAGACTGAAACCTTGGTGCAGGCCCGGAAGTTGGTCAACTCCTGCCACCTTGATGGGTTGAACAAGAGAGCAGCTTCCATCCTTATGCTTCTGTGGAGATGACCTGCACTGTCGCATGTGGGAGAGGGCCTTGGCAGTCACTGCTTGAGCAGCAGACAAGCAGAGAAGACAGAGCCATAATCGGCACCGCAACCTCCATAGCCAGTGCCATGGAACTCTTCTTGCGGAGGAGTGAGGAAAAGGTGGAAGTGAGCATGGAGGACTTCTTCTCCCTAGATACTCTGTAGATATCCAGACCCCTCCTGTAAATTACTGCCCATTTTATCCAACCTGAAATTTTGTAGAACCATTAAATAAAACGTTACACTTAAGAAATAGGCCTGTGTAATATCAGTAGTCTGAGGAAAATAGTCATTCTTTCCTCATGCAGTGTAGGATTAAGTATTTTGGAAATCATATTGAAATGGACATCAGTACTCTTATCATCTGACCTCAGAAATCACACAGTGATGTCATGATAGTGTCAATGGAATTATTTTAGTTAATTTTATTGTGGAAGTTCTGTTTCCTTCATCAGGATAAACTATTGGGCTGTGTGTTTTGTACTTTTATTTGCTTAGAAACTGAGTAATTGCCTCATAAAACAGCATGATGGTACTATTAACACTGAATTATAAGAGCTGTTATTATAGAATGTGCTTCCCTAGTTGGGATAAGCCTTGGTTGTTAGGTGCTTAAAATAAGTAGTTTCTCCAAATGGGGCTATAATGAATAGTGTAGAATTTTACCTATTTAATATAAAAAAGTTTATAATCTCTTGGGTGGCTTTTATGTATCATTTGATACTTCTAGGGAAGGAGTTACTTTTTGGGGGCTTTGGGGAGGAGGGAGGTATTAATGTTCAGAATGGAGGTGTTCAAAAATGATAAATTTCTGTCACACCTGAGACAAATTTAAGACAACCATTAAAGAATTTGTCCCACTGTTTTGCCTTAGTTGGATATTTAGTATTAAAGGGTTCATTGACTGAATACCCTTGAATTTGAAATTTTGGGGGACTTTGTTATGAATGATAAAAATTTTAACTGAGTTATTGTCGCAGTTTGTTTCTGAACTGACTTAAAATAGTGTGCATGTATGTGTTTGTTTATTCTACTTTGTCCATACTATTGAACTTTTTGTGCCATTAATTTTAGGTATAAATGAAATGAATATTTCTTAAAGAACAAGTTACAGTCCTAAATAGGAATTTGTTACTTCCCTGTTTGTTGTATTGGTGGCAGGTGCTGTTACAGAATGAAAGTGGGCTTTGTGTTGCTTTGAATATAAGTATGAAAATCATTTATTCTATGGAAACAATATAATCTACCTTTCAGCTCTCCTCTGCACAAGGTACCCTGGGTACTGTTTGAGTTACAGAAAAAGCTCTGAGATATGTGAGACTCTGTGCCAGGGTTCGCAGTGGCTTTTATTCACTTTATTAATTTTCTCATTTTTCTCTGTGATTAACAGTGTGGCTGAGTTGAGGCATTAGGAGTATATGATGTTTATAAGTTTCCACTGTGTGATGAGTGATTGTATAAATAGTTGACTTTCTTTTATATACCATTTCTCTTATCTTTCTCTTGTTCCCCTCCCAATAATCTCCAGTGAACACTGCCCATCTGTGAGGTGGATTCTCCATCATCTAGTGAGGAAGAACAATTGGATTCAGACATCTTTTTTTAAAAAATATAAGAATAGCTGCATTACCCAAAGTTGCCTATGTAATTTTTAAAAGCAAATGCAGTTATTTCTTTTTGCCAGTGGATTTGGTTTCTTTGGGGTTTTTTCTACTCTGTGTGGGTCCCCATGCTTTCCCATCCTGTAAGAGCTTTGTGGGCCTTGGGGCCTATCCCCTTATCTTACACTTGCAGAACCTTGAGTCTAACTCCCTAATTTGGACTTGACACCTGTGTACAAGAATGTTGCCTAGCAGGGCTGGATTGCCATGTCTTGTTGACAGCGAGTTCCATTGTTTAACACAATGCCAACCAGGTCTCTTAAATTGGAATTGTCAGTGTTAGATACAATTTTGTCCTTGAGACATTCTTTGGTAATAGGGAGAGGGGGCCAGGACTGCCTGAATTTTTTTCTAAATCACAACTGTGTCCTCCTACCCAACCTGCAATACCCAGTAACCCCTTCCCATATCATGAAATAGAAATAGGAACAAAATAGCACCATTAATTGGATTTAAGTCTCAAACCCTGATACTGAAAACTTCTGTTAGCTGGCTTGGACCATGTTTAGCATAAATACATTCAGCCCAAGGCACATCCTGACTTGGGACTGAAGGACCCCCACCCGCACAGACCCTCCAAACCTATCATTGTTTACTGTACTTTGGCCTGATGGAAAGACCTACAGACTGAAACCTTGGTGCAGGCCCGGAAGTTGGTCAACTCCTGCCACCTTGATGGGTTGAACAAGAGAGCAGCTTCCATCCTTATGCTTCTGTGGAGATGACCTGCACTGTCGCATGTGGGAGAGGGCCTTGGCAGTCACTGCTTGAGCAGCAGACAAGCAGAGAAGACAGAGCCATAATCGGCACCGCAACCTCCATAGCCAGTGCCATGGAACTCTTCTTGCGGAGGAGTGAGGAAAAGGTGGAAGTGAGCATGGAGGACTTCTTCTCCCTAGATACTCTGTAGATATCCAGACCCCTCCTGTAAATTACTGCCCATTTTATCCAACCTGAAATTTTGTAGAACCATTAAATAAAACGTTACACTTAAGAAATAGGCCTGTGTAATATCAGCAGTCTGAGGAAAATAGTCATTCTTTCCTCATGCAGTGTAGGATTAAGTATTTTGGAAATCATATTGAAATGGACATCAGTACTCTTATCATCTGACCTCAGAAATCACACAGTGATGTCATGATAGTGTCAATGGAATTATTTTAGTTAATTTTATTGTGGAAGTTCTGTTTCCTTCATCAGGATAAACTATTGGGCTGTGTGTTTTGTACTTTTATTTGCTTAGAAACTGAGTAATTGCCTCATAAAACAGCATGATGGTACTATTAACACTGAATTATAAGAGCTGTTATTATAGAATGTGCTTCCCTAGTTGGGATAAGCCTTGGTTGTTAGGTGCTTAAAATAAGTAGTTTCTCCAAATGGGGCTATAATGAATAGTGTAGAATTTTACCTATTTAATATAAAAAAGTTTATAATCTCTTGGGTGGCTTTTATGTATCATTTGATACTTCTAGGGAAGGAGTTACTTTTTGGGGGCTTTGGGGAGGAGGAAGGTATTAATGTTCAGAATGGAGGTGTTCAAAAATGATAAATTTCTGTCACACCTGAGACAAATTTAAGACAACCATTAAAGAATTTGTCCCACTGTTTTGCCTTAGTTGGATATTTAGTATTAAAGGGTTCATTGACTGAATACCCTTGAATTTGAAATTTTGGGGGACTTTGTTATGAATGATAAAAATTTTAACTGAGTTATTGTCGCAGTTTGTTTCTGAACTGACTTAAAATAGTGTGCATGTATGTGTTTGTTTATTCTACTTTGTCCATACTATTGAACTTTTTGTGCCATTAATTTTAGGTATAAATGAAATGAATATTTCTTAAAGAACAAGTTACAGTCCTAAATAGGAATTTGTTACTTCCCTGTTTGTTGTATTGGTGGCAGGTGCTGTTACAGAATGAAAGCGGGCTTTGTGTTGCTTTGAATATAAGTATGAAAATCATTTATTCTATGGAAACAATATAATCTACCTTTCAGCTCTCCTCTGCACAAGGTACCCTGGGTACTGTTTGAGTTACAGAAAAAGCTCTGAGATATGCACAAGTGGTAAAGATGTAAATAATGCAACAGGTTAATTCAATTCAAGGAACTGATGGGAGAAAGATAATTTCAGAACATGATTAATTACCAAATCAATGCAAAGTCAGAAATTGCTACAGATGCAGCATAGGTATTTAACTTTTGTTTACTTGCTTAGATTAACCACTTATGAATAGTATTTTGATCCTAATGAAAGGGAAACAGGTTCTCTGGGTCATTCTTTTTGGCTTTATATTCTGTAATTACCTTACAGATAATAATACTACCAGTTTTTGTTTGATACTTTACTGTCTTCATATCTTTCTAATTTTATCCCAGAAAGATTCTGGGGTGGGATAGTTACTATTATCTATATATTTAAAAAATTTAGAACTAAACGACAAAGTCAAGGCATGGGAAGTTATGTTCACATGGCTGCTTGGAGACTCAAGTCCGTGGTCTCCTAGTTCAGTCTGTCTCCCTGCTTTTGCTTTCCCTCTCCTAGGGCTGACACAGTAATACAATACTCTATGATTAGAATAATTTGATTTTCAGCTGGCCTCATGACGGTACACTGAAGTTACTGACTTGTTGTTATAGGTGACTTTTGTGTTCTGGAGTCCTTTGTAAAATTGGTGTTTCTTTTGCAGGAAGCCAGTTGAGGGAAATTCTCCATGAATGTATGTCACAATGATGATGACCGACCAGATCCCTCTGGAACTGCCACCACTGCTGAATGGAGAGGTAGCCATGATGCCTCATTTGGTGAATGGAGATGCAGCTCAGCAGGTTGGTGTAGAAAGAGGGAGTTTAATCAGATCATCTAAGGAGAAAACATTAACCCAGTAATTGCTTTATTTTGAGTCAAAGATCTGTGATTCTGAACATGAGGGGCTCAACAGGTATTTTTGTTGTAGAATTACTGAGTTTTGGAAATACCAGAAATTGTAGTTTTTCAGACCAGTAAGTCTTACCCCATTCAGTTAGTATTCTTGAAGCATGGAGTTGAAGTGAGTCATTTTGAAAGTATGTACAAATCTTTGGAGTAAAATGACTGTTGCTCATGTCATATATTGTGCTCAACTGGATCACCTGGGTGGCCAGAGGAGGATACTCAGGATGGGGCAGGTTTTGATCTCACATAGGTATTGACTGACTGCAACAAGGTGCACAGGTCGGTGTGAACCGACCCTGGCTCCAGTCCTTCCAAATGTAGAGACTGCTCCTCAGAGATAGTACTTATTTTCTGTAAAACTTCTTTGTCTCTTGTTATTTAATGTTGCAGAATAAAAAGGGTACTTCTGAACTCATTTATGTAGCACTTAAGAAAAAAGTTTGAACAGTGAGTAAAACTTAAAAAAATATATTAGATTGAACTGTTTAAAACTTTTTATTGATTACAAAAACTGGGTTTACTCAGTCTTGTACTAAATAAATAAATATCATTCTGTCTTTGTGCAGTTCTTTAGAAGCAAAAAGTAAAAGTCTTTGTCTCATGAAAAGTAGGATTGGGAACAATTGCTTGAAAACTATTTACCCAAAATGTATTAATAATTCAAATAAGTTAGCTGTTTATTTGACATCAGTATGTGAACCCCAAAATCTGTCATAGTACATTAATACTTTGTACATACCTCTTGGATCTTATTTTACTGATTAATAATTATATTACTGTCTTCTGCATTAGACTGTGAACCTCAAGAACAAAGAACATCTAATTGGTTCTCAATAAATGTTTGTCAGTTGGATAAATTTCATCCTTTCTTGACACTGATGCAGATACCTCCCTTCCTGACTCCTCAGTTTCTCTCCCTGCTGGATCATTTCCAACATAATGTATGATCTTTTATCTTAACATATAGGCAACTAGACCTTTCCCCTACCCAGCACAACAAAACCCCCTTCCTTGACTCCATAGCCCTGATTTTTGGCTGACTTCATGATGGAGCATTTATATTGCAGTCACATATCAAGCTTTCTCAAACTGGAAGTACACTTTGAAAAATCTCATTGGGAAGAAATGTTCAGTCTTTCTAACTAGTAAATATGTTTGTGCTAAAAATACTAACATTTTTTAGAAGCATTAACATTTATTCATAGGTTATGTGGGCCAAGCTATTGATTGGTATTAAACCTAAATATCCCTTAAAGGTGTACAATTGTTAGGTGGGCAGAGTGTGTTTGAAATATCCCTCTCAGTAGGATCAGCCCAAGATTTATCATGCCTTGATTCCCTCTGTGTCCCTATGGCTCAGCCTAGGCAGTGGCCTCTGTACCTGACATTTTTCTTTCTCTTTCTGTTCCTAGAATCCTATCCTGTGTCTCTTTCATTCTCTCAAGCCTCTGCTTTTTCCTTGGGTCCTAACATTTAGCTTTGGCCTATTAGGTATGGTAGAATCCTCAGGGCCTGTGTATGGAACCTGGACTAGGGAGCAAAAGGTAGACAGATCCAGGGAGCAAGCGAAACCAAAAACTATAGAGAGGAGGTGGGGAAAGAGGAGCAGTGAGGGTCACCAGAAAGAAAAAGCGCCAAAGATGAGGACCTAAGAAGCCTGAGACTGCATGAGTTTTCTGAGCTTGCCAGGGGCACCTGTTGGTATTTGCTGCTTGCTCTTAAGGAGCCTGTACAGTGTGGTGCTCAGGGAGTCTGTTAAAGGATCGGGACACAGAGGACACACCAGAGAAAACTGTCTGGCTCTGGTTCTATATTTCTGTTGGAGTGTGTATGGAGAAGCTTACCTTGTATGTGTTTACAGCATTCTTAATACTTTGCAGCTGTGCAGAGGACATTCTAAACATTTCTGTATATGCAAAAGAACCACCACAGTTATGAGAAAGCCCTTCAATCTCCACAGCCTTCCTCCTGATTTTTGTCCTGATGTTTTCTGGATTTAGTTAGTATGAGTTCTTGGCAATATTCTCTGCTCTGTTTTGGCTCTCTAAGTAAGAGACTGTATATTTTCATTATTTAAAGTCACATTATGTTTGAAACCTTGGTTTGTCATTTTATATAGGTAGCAGGAACAGGATGATTATTTTGTTAAAATGAAAAGCCATCCTCATTAAGAATGAAGATTAAAAAAATATATATTATTAACTAAAAAATGAACAAGCAATGACACCATGTAGACAGAGGCAACTTAGTAGCTTTACTTAGCAGCTTTGTGGAGATAGAATCTACATGCCATGTAATTCACTTATTTAAAGTGATTCACTTATTTAAATTCAGTGGAATTTACCGTATTCACAGAATTGTGCAACCATGATTACAATTAACTTTAGAACATTTAATCACCTAGACAGACATCCTGTAGCAGCCGCTCCCCATTCCCTTCTCTTCCCTATTCCTAGGCAACCACTGATGTATTTTTTTCTGTCTCTGTAGATGATTTTCCCATTCTGGCCATTTTGTAAAACAAAATCATGCAATATGTGGACTTTTGTGTCTGTTCTTCTTTCACTTAGAATAATATTTTCAAGGTTCATCCATGTTGTAGCAGGTATCAGAACTTACACTTTTTTATTGCCAAATAACAGGCCATTGTGTGGATATGCCATATTTTATTTGTCCATTCATCAGCTGATGGACATTCCACTTGTTGGCTATTAGGAATAATGGTGCTATAAATGTTTGTGTGCAAATTTTTGTGTGGATGTATGTTTTCATTTCTCTTGGATATACACCTAGGAGCGAAATTGAATAGCTTTATTTTAAACTTTTGTTTTCTAAATAAAGTATTTCTGCTTTTCACTATAATTGTTCTACCTCTGAATAGATCAACATAGCTAAATAAAGTTTGCTTCCTCTAATATGCCTAACTGCTTACTATTATTGAGTTACAAAGTCAGATTTCAACCTGAGTTTTAGTGTGTGATTAAATAAATTACAGTGAGTGTTCTTCAGTAATCAGAACATTGGTGCCTTCATTTCATAACCTAATTGACATTAACTGTTTTTGTTATGGACTTCTAGCACATCCTAGAGATGTAAAAATGTAGCAGCTAGTTTTAAGCCTGAAAGAGTAAATAGCCCAATTTCCAACTTTTTCTATTAGCTTAATATTTCAATAATCTCTGAAGAAGGATTATATTTAGCAGCCACCATTTAAATTACAGCAGCCAATAGTTAAAGCCTTAGGTTAAGAACAGAAGTGTTAGTGAAGAGTTTACCGATCTGCTAATTTAATCTGTGACATGACCTACATGAGGGTGACGTGCCACTTTATCTTCTTATATTCTTAGTGACTCCTCTCATGTATGCTCTGACTTAGGGGTCACTGAGGTGGGGATAGAGTTAGATTCCTCCTGGTCCTGACTAGAGCATCTTAGAGGGCAGCCAGTACATGTTTTGTTTATCATATTTCTTATGTCTTTATTTTTTTTTTAAGCTTGCAGAATAGTAGTTGCTAATGAGTGTTCTTAATGCCTCTTCTTCAGGAAATAGATCCCCTGAAATGTAAATAGAAAGCTTATCTCTTCTGCGGGCTCAGGATTGCATATTAACAAGCTTGCCCTGAGAGACCGGAGGTTAAAAGTTGCTGCAGCCAAGTCCAGTTCTCTTGACTTCAGCTATTTCTGTTGGTCAACCTTTAGCACGTCATATTACTGAGAATGAGGTTTTTCCCCCCTTTGGTTTCTTCGTTTTGAAAGCCTTTGTTTCCCCTAGACAGAATACACAGCCAGAGTTTTCGGAGCATTCTTTTGAGTACACATTTCCAGACAGAACATTAAACATATTAAAACTTACCACATTCAGATGGTGCTCGTCATCAGCATGTCTTTTACTTCAAGTATGCTTCTCCCTCTAATCCAGTGACCTTTTATGTTCTGGTTGGTGTCTTCTTAATAACTTTTTCCCTGACAGCCCCCTTCTTGAATTCAGTAGTTTAAATCCCCTTACCACACAGGTTTACTCTTTATATATAAATATACTGATAGCTACCATTTCAGGGGGACTCAGAAAGAGTTTTACAGTCAGTATAGTGTAAAAATGAATAAATAGTTCTTGGGAAGTTTGCCCAGGATAAAGAAGGATATTCAAGTGAGAATGAGGCTGGCAGTTGAAATAGAGGCTGCAGCCATTATTCCTGAATAACGTTATACAACAACAGCTCCTTTTGTGATAGAATCCTATTTTAGAGGTTAGAACTTGGATTGAAAGTAGAGTTAGGCTGGTCAAATGTTGGGTTTGGGAAAACAAGTATAGAGAAGCTCAGTCTTGGGTCAGACTCTTCAGCATCAACCTGTATGAGAAATGTACAACTTGGGCAAATATTTAAAGAAAATTACTATTGCAGACTGCCATCCATTTTCTCTCTTCCACTCAAAGTATAAAAGCCTCTGGTGTGAAGATGCTGTTGGCCTCTTTTCCTTAAGATTTGGGATAGAAAGGATTGAGGGTAGGAGAAGAGAGGGTAGGATTTATGACTGAATTAAGGAGTGGGCTGAATCATAGATCTGTTCATTTGAATAAGCATTTATCAAATGTCTTCCATGCCTGCACTGTGTTAGGTGCTGGTGACACAAAGATGAATAAGACACTGTCCTAAAAGAATGAGCCAGTTTAGTTGGGTAACGAAACGTGGTTTACAAGAAAAAAAAAGTAGTGTTTACATGTGCAGAGCCACAAGAGAAGCACTTGGATTGCAGAAAGTATCAGTGCCCTGGGAACACAGAGGAGGTATGGACCAGGGGGTGGGCTAGGCAGGCAGGAAACCAGACCAGGCTAGGAAAAGTGTCTGTGGGGAGGTTGAGCCTGACTAGAGAGCTCACTTGCAGGAGTTGTTGTA